TTTAAAACCAACATCATAATAATTTGTTTTATTCAGATTAATTTCTATGTTGGTTGGACTCGGTGCTGCACCAACTTTTTGTTCCCCAGACACCAATATAAATATTTTTTCAAGATGATGCAAAGTTAAATTTTACACTGCCATTAGTTATTAAACTTAGAAAATTAAATATAAGGAAGTTATCATCCAGAATTGTAAATTGAAAATGTTTCCTTTAATAGGCTGTTGCAGTAAAACATATGTCCTTAACATTTCTTTCATTTACTTTTATACTTTAAGTAGTTTTAAAAATGTTACTTTTACTAACTTTGCTTGAAAAAAAATGCTTAGGTTGCCCTTACACCAAAAGTATAATGGCTGCAAAGGTTTTTTTCAAACAGTAGGATTTATACTTCTACTTGAGCAATAAATATTAATGAACTGACCCCCGATCTTATCCACTCTCATCACCCTTAAAAAGAACCTCAAAGTGTTCATTTCTGCTACCTACAGCTCCTGTCGCTTCCTCAGTGCCACTGTCCTAAACCATACAGCATTGCTGTTTCCATCATTGCCTTGTAAATCTTTCCTTTAATTCTTAAACTCTTTAAATACACACCTTTGACACTTTTCTCCTGTTGCTCTAACCTGCTCGCACCTTGAAGTGTTCTGCTATTCCTAAAACAAACCTCACCACTGTTATGCAGCTCTCATCCATGCCTGTCTCCACTCCAACAGACTTTGCTGCTGCTCAAGAATTCCTAGTGCAGTAATACATCTTAATCTATAATTATTCTTCATTCCAAACAGTTTTTACGAAGAAACTGAGTGTAACAAACAAAATGCACCTTATTGGATTAATCTTTGCTCATTAACAATTATATATTTAATATTTCCTATATTGATATTTACTGTTTAAAATTTCAGCCAATTGTCTCAAAGCAGAAATTAAGACTTTTGGAAATAAACTTGATGGAGTCAAGTAACATGTTCTTCATTAGTCACTTTTTGTCCTATTGTTGGTTGTGTATAGAGTTGTTTTATTTTACCTTATTACAGTTCTGAGTTATAGATTTATAGCATTGTTTTTTTTTTGTTTTTTTTTTACTTTTCACTGAATTTGTGATTTATGTGTGTCCATTTAAACTCGGTTGCTTTATGTCAATTTTTAGTAGATCCGTTGGTGTCTGTTTTCCATTAAAAAATGATCAATCGATTTAAATAATAAAAATAAAAAATTTCAAAAGATTTTCAAAAGAAAATCTGTTTTGTTTTTTTTAGCAATTTAAGATGCTGCATTTTCCTTTAATGCATAGTTCAAGCTCAGAACTACTCAACAGAAGCTTTATATTAAGTTGATGTTAACAGACTTGCATATAGACGCCATTATTGAACACTATACAAAGCATCATCCAGACTGAGATCTACCACCTGGATTTAGCATCTGTCCTTTAATCATCTATCAGATGGAACGTCATAAAGGTTCTCCTAATGGCTATCGTCTAAATACATTTTTTCTGCAAACCTAGAAAGCAACTCATTTATGTTTTAACAGTCTTCTAAGTACACGGACATGCAAAAATCATGTGGGGGGCTTCATGATGAAAATGAACTTGTCTACCCCTGTGTTGTTGTTGTGGGTATCTTTAAAAAAAATTTGAAATCACAATGAAAAAAAAACAATCAGTCGACCCTTCATATAGAAGGAGAGGATAATTTATATCGTGTCAACCATCATTGTTGGTGTAATGGTCTAATTCATTAAAACCCACGAACAGACACAGCTGTGCAAGGAGTAGAGGAACTTTAAAGCAAATATGAGATATTATATAGATATATTGACTGGTCCCTAATTGGAAGCTACTTAAAGAAAAGCACATAAGTACTTTAGTTTTACTTCCAGCTCTCAATAGAATGAAACACATTAACATTTGGAATCAGACCGCATTTGGTTTACCTTATTATTTTGGTTGAATGTTATAACAGGCTGCCATGCAAAGCTGAGGGAAAGGGGCTGAGGATTGTAAGCGGCTGAGAGCAGCTTGGTGTGTGAGAAAGTTGAAAATGAGAGAAGAGAAAGGAAAAAGCACATGTGAAAACGAATAGAGGCAGAGGAAAAAACAGCTTGGCTTATTTATTGGATCCTATATTTGCCCGTGTATTTGGTAGTAATTACACTCTAATGACAAGTGGGATTTTTTTTAAATGGCAAATTGAAATACAAAGAAAAAAAAAAAAAAACAATTTCAGAGACCCTTAAATACATTTGGCCCTGACTGATGTGAATGATACTATTTTAGGTTACAGCTTTATTTTGCAATTAATGACTTGTCCATTAAAGTGAGCTTCATGCACCGATTGTTATATTTGAAGTTAAAGTCAAACATTAACTGTGACTGTGTTGTTTGTGAATATATTTCAACTGCAGCAACTATATCTGCTGTTAAAAATAGAAGTTTCTGTCATTCGATGGTAGCATATATTTTGTAAATTGATAGTATTTGTGCACATTAGTTATATATTAGAAAAATTACAGTTTATATTATTTTAAAAGGCTAAACTGCAGTAAAATGAAGTCCTACAGGTAGGGGAGTCAACTTAATATAAATCAAATAAGGGTGATACTAGCATGAATGTTTGGCATTTGCTTAACGTTTTGTTTTTGTAAACATCCAGTCTTTTCAGGGGTGGGGGGAACAGATATTGGATTAGCTATTGGATGCTTTGGTATATTGCCACGGTTGAGAAACCTCTTTAGTGTTACAGGAAGAAAATCAAAACCAAATTCAGAGTGGTAGTGTTCTGATGTGCTGATTTTATGGAATATCCAGTGAAATAAAGAACCCAAAGAGCTATGTCCACATTTTTTGTACATAGTCAAACTTGTGTTAGGTTTTGTGGTCTGTGGACACAGTCTCAAGTCTAAGTAGAGGAATTGGACTGGATGATTAAATTAGAAATGTTATATCCAGGTGATACATTTCAGTCTGGATGGTGCTTTGCATATTGTTTTTCAAGAACTGACTTTGAATGTTACAGATGAAGTGACAAGTGGAATTGATGGTACAGGTGATGCAGGTGAAGAGCCCGAGAAAGCTGATGGTTTGTATTCTAACAGAGCATCAAGAAAAAAGAAAGCAAATTATGAGTTACAGGAAACCCCAACAAAATGTTTAATTGTACCCATGTTTAAAGCATCATACAATATGGTTATTAACAAACAGTTAAAAAAAAGAGTTACAGTAAGATCAAGAGCAGAATCAGAACTTAAAAATTCAATACCAAGAACAATAATAAAATATGGTCAAAAATAGTGATATTAGGTAAACAGCACCTAGCTATTATATTTCTTAATACCATATAGGTTTTTATATGAGGAATATGTCCATGAGGGACATTTAAAAATTAGTCAAACCTGGAATTAAATATGCAAAATTACTGATTTATGAAAATGTTACTTTTTAGTTAAGTTTAACTGCATTTACGAAAAATAAAACCATTACCTGCGTTTATTAGGTGCAAAACAAAAGTGCCTTTGCTTACAGTACAATGAACAGAGTTAATATAGAAAAAAAAAAAAACAGAACAATATTAAAAACTGAGCCACATTGCATAGTTCTGGCCTGTACATGGTAAGAGTTACATTGATCTCAGTGTCAAAATTTCATTTAAACGTAAATTTTACTTCAATTAGAGTCGATTTTTTTTGTCAAATTTGTTTGAATATAACTCAGAAGATTAAGACCAACTCTTGAATTAAAATCCAGCATACAACACTGGAAATCTGACACTTTTGAAACAGCTTCTGCAAAAAGTTCCACTATTCTAATGTCATTATGCCAAATGCCTATCTCAACACTTAAATGAGTTATGTCTGACTAAACTGAGAACATTTTGGAAAACCAAAAATGTAAAAAATGAGTATGTGAAATATGTAATTTTTGCCAACCCTGACTGAAGACACATTTACAGAAGAGGATTAGGGCCACTGAAAAAATAAAAAAGTTAACTGATTTCTACATTTTATTTCAGTATAATATGAGAAAAAAGTCAGAATTCTGACTTGTTTCTCAGAATTCTGACTGAATTCTGACAGCTAACAAACATGTTAGCAAAAAGCTGTAGCCATGTCTGTTTTAGAGACTAAACTAGCTCTCTTGTTTTAATCACCTTCTGCTCTTCCATTAATAAAATAGCATCACCTGGGACCTGATGCTATAGTATCTTAATTCCATCATTTTCCACCAATGTGTTACTGGCCCTCTTAAACAACTCACATCTTTGTCAGTGAAGTTGAGTGCTCCTACATCTCTAGGTTTATGGTGCCATCTACATTAAGATCCATAATTCTGAGATTAAAGTCAGAATTCTGACAAAAAAGTCAGAATTCTGAGATTAAAGTCAGAATTCTGATTTAAAAAATTCAGAATTCTGAGAAAAAAGTTAGAATTCTGACTGTTTTCCCCATATTAAACTGAAATAATATTTAAAAATCTGTTTTATCAGTGGCCCTAATCCTCTTCCGTACACATTAGTAAATCTTGATTGATTTAATTTTCATCTGTGCATGAAAGGTAAAATGTATGTTAAATTTATGCATTCTGGACTTGATAAGCTATACAACCAAGTACGTATCAGACTGGAACAGTACAAGCCTTTGCCTACATTTTCCTCACAGGCTACATCGTGAATATTTATTGTTCTGGGATTAGAATAATAATAGAAAGGACAGAGAATATTCATAATATAGAGCTTTAAACAATAAAATAGCTACATCTAATAACTACGGCAGGAAATAAGCTATTATGGTCTGAGACGTTCCAGGAATGTTCTAGCAAACTGCTGGAGCTGTTGTTTCGCCAGGAATCTTTCAGGGCCGTTAACATGACGCTGATTGTTTTGTGGATGAGATATCGATTCGGTTTTGTTTTTTCACGTTCATTTCCAGATGTTCCTCAACGAATTTAGCATTTATCGATCATTACCGTTACTCTGATCAGTGGTTGGTTTGACCGGCGTCACGACTACAGCCGTCACCTGGACTTCTGATTGGCTGAGAGCTTTCATCCGGGTACCGGGCTAGGACGAGCTCATTAGCTAAAGGTACCAATATGGCGGAGGTAAGAGGGAAAACAGGGGAGAAGCTCCCGGTCTTTAATCGATATTTTTTGCATTTAAGTGTTTTCGTTTTAATCTTTATGTTATCGATTGGGGAGATATATGTTTTTTCTGCACGTGTTGGGTGTTTTATGTCATAAATGTCTTTGTTATTTCTTTAAAATATGCTTGAATGTCTGAAGTGATCCTTCACTAGGAGGCCTCTGCGCCTTCGCTCTCAGCTGCTTCGCAGTAGCGGCTGTGTAAATTGATACGTAAATTTAACGCTAGCCTACTGCTTAAAGGAAATACCAGACTATTTCACGTTTATTATAGACTAGGTTTAGTTTAAAATGTTAGGCTAATTTTACGGAACATCTCTTTAGAATATCATTCTTTTCCGTCGATGGCGGCGCGATGCAAACCAAATTAGTGTTTACATTTGTCGATGCAGAGCGGTAACGTTAAGCATTTGAGCTTAGCTTGGCGGCTAGCAAACTGTTTCGGTAGTCGATAAAGCTCAGTTCGTGCTGTTTTCCCTTACATACGGGCCTTATTTATTTGGATGTAGTGAAGAATCCAACTCCTTCACATGAGTCTTAAATTACTTTATGATCTGTCTCTTTTTGGTGTTACCTGGTACAGGTAACAAATGCCATAACGCTATTTCAGATTATGTATTCCCATTGGGAATTGAACATATATTTTGAATAAATGTCTCGAAGTACGTCGCTGTTTCGAGATGCAAGATTTTAGATTGTCTGCATTTGGTTTCCATTGTAATCTAAAGTGAATGCGATCACAGTTTAATTCTTAAGTGTTAAAAAACCTTTTAATGATGCAACAATGGTGTTAGTTAGTTGAAGCTTTACTTTTTTTTAAGCTGAAATTCTGGTGTTATTCCCGATTTTTCTAAGCAAAAGCAGTTAAAATGATAAATATATACACGGAAATATATTCAAATTTTCTGTCATATTTAATTTTAGAAATGAATGTCATGCAATTGCTCTATAATTAAGGATATTTCTTTGACATCAAAATCAGTTTTCATATTTTATCTTGAAACAAAAAGATAAACCTCATATGTTTTTGAAATTAACAAAAACTAAAATATTAAAAATTAGCAGTTAAATATAAACTTTTTATGAATGCCAAGCTTTGCCTGAGCTAGTAGATCTACTAACCTATCAGCCAGTTTATTTGTGACATGTAAATTTTAGCATTTACCAACAGACCTTTCAATACAATCACAAACACTATTTTGCAAAAGAAAAAAACCTTTAAACAACTGGCATCTATAGACTGTATTAATGTATATTTCTTTGTGTTGTGATGTATTATCTAAAATGGGGCTACATGATATTATGTAAACCTGTGATACGCCATAATATTCACTGATATTGCTATGGAGATATCCACTTATGATTCAATGTAGCCTTATTCTAGATCATTTAAATTAATCTCTTACCTTTGAAATGCTGTGAATATCATCTAGTTGCAATCTTAAGGCTACGTTCATTCTGCAACCTGATGTGACCAAATCCAATTTTTTTTTGCCCATATGCGACCTGGATCTGATCTTTTCATGGCTGTCTGAACAAGACAGATCTGATTTTTTCCAATCCGACCCAAGCAACTTGGCTATGTGGTCCTGAATCCGATACGAATCTGATCGTTTCAAATGCGACCTATGTGTGAACGATCAGGCCTGCAGGTTCAACGTAGCCTAAGTATGCAGTACTGATGTCTTGCTGCTCTTGATTTATGGCACAAAAAAACCCCACAAATGATATTATAGGGTATGTTATAGAGATATACTAGTACATTGGGTGGACAATATTTTTGGTCTGTATTAGTTGCATTTAGGCCTGTCACGATAACAAATTTTGCTGAAAGATTCATTGTCTCAAAAATTATTGTGATAAACGATAATATTGTTTTAAGACCTTTTTACACTGATTTAATGGACATGACATAATAATGCATGCATTTTCCTGCCAAAGATAAACACACTTTATTTTAAACAGAACACTTAACACTGGAACTGGTTAACAAAATAAAACGAAAGAAAATCAAATGGACTTTCAGTCTCTGTTAACTAAAAATACACGAATAAAAACTAAACACAAGATAAAACCACGGTGGAAATAAAAACGTATGTACAACATATCACATTTGTGATATGCATGTTTTCCTCGGGAGTTCATACTGTCTATCAAATGTCTGCAACATTTTTCAAAATGCCGGCTTTTCAACAATATTAAATGGGAGCATCTCTTTAGCAATTAGATGAACTACGCTGTCTGTGAGCGCGTAGCACTTTGCGCCGTCCTTTTTGTATGCTGCCTGTTGATTAATTGCTTCAGTGATGGACTGTCGCGAACTTGAAGACGCAGGTGGGCCACCGCTTGTACTTTTCGTCCCCAGCTGGAGAAACCTTGCTGGGTGGTTGTGCTTTAGGTGCATGTGTAGGTTGGTTGTATTGCTGCTCTTAGTTGCTACTGTTTTATGACAAATGCGACATACTGGCTCGCATAGGTTCAGCAGTTCGCCTCGGTCATTTGGTTTGAATCCAAAATACTCCCACACTACGGCTGTTGCGCTCGACTTTGAAACCAGGTCCATTTTGAGCTTTCTCCCCAACATAAGATGTTTTTTTTTTTTTACCTCGCTAACTCCTCTAACTCCCCATGGGGCGCCAAAACTGCAGAAGTACAAAATGATGTGCGCTGACTACCTGATGCAATAGTCCACTCTTCCTCCCTCCTCAAAAATGAGGAAGGGGAGGGGTCAGTGGATAGCACAGGAGTTGAGCCTTTTCATTCAGCATCATCAATAAAAAGAGAAAAACACAGGCAGAGACGATATACCCGATAAATGAAATGAGGTGGATAGTTTTTATTTATCGTGCGATTAATTGATTTATTGGTTAACGCGGCAGACCTAGTTGCATTGTTTGTTTTTGTTTTATTACGCATTACTGCTCCTTCCCTCTGCGATTCACTGTTGTTTGGTTTGAATTGAGACTTTTAATTGCCATTTTTATCATGTAAATGGAAGGAGGAAGAGCAATAACAGCTCCAAGAATTGGCACAAAATAATCACATATCGGGGTTTGGTTGGGCTAATGCTAAAATGATTGACATTAGCCTTAACACTAGGACTCCCAGAATTCTGATCCTACTAGAACCTACAATGGCCATCAATTGGACAGGTGACATTTTTCCCAATGGAATGCATGAGTAGTGATGTCATCGGCTCAATCCTGTGAGTGATTATAGTAGACCAGGGGCTTTGGTTTGGCTTTTGGGCCGCTAAGTGTACCGGCTGAGGTGTGGGCAGTGTTATCCAAACCTTGAAAAAAAGTTTCACTATTGTCTGATGAGTCACTGATCCATCTGCGTTTTTCCGTCCGTGAGTGATCATCCTCGGAGTCGCTGTCAGAGTCTGAGCCGCTTCCTACCCAGTCCTCCTCATTTGTCTCTCCCTCTCTGCCCGAACCACTATCATCAATATTTCGAAGCATTTCTTGTTTCGGGGTTAGATTTCGGGGTTAGATTTCTTCTGAAAGCCATTTTTCGGTATTAGCCAAAGAGTTCTAGGGAGAATGCCGGTTGTTAGGCAACGGTACCGAACATCAATCAAACACGGGAAGAATTTCCGATGCAACTAACAGCAGTCAAAATGACTGCTGTGGGAGATCGGGCTACAATTAATCATATTTATCATTTACCTTTTTTATTTTATTAAAAAAGTGATGTGGATACATAGAAACAGGAAAGGTCTATTATTAATGTAATTAAAGTTATTTTTCCTTTAAAATCTCAGAACCGTCATAATGACGGCCTTGGGAGTTCTAGTGTTAAAATGCCTGTATTGGTCAGTCTTCCATAACAGGCTGCGGCATCTTTGGTCCATTTTAGTTATATTGACAATTTCCTCTCTGCTCACTGAATAAATGGGCATGATGTTCTTAGCCAAATGGTGTGCTGTGGCCTCTTTTATTATTTGTATGGCGTTGATGGTTTCCCACCTGCAAGACTGGTATTCAGGCAATTGATAGATGTTACAATTAATTATAATACAGAAGACGTCTTTTAAACTGCTTTATAAGTACTACCGAGCTATTCTAAGCAGGTAGGCAAGGAGACTTCCGTGCGCCACATTGAACGGTGAGCGGTTGGTGTCTGGTAGAGGAAAAAAATGGGGCTAGTTGCTCAATTAGCTTATCATACTTATTTCCATCCACCACCTTCTTTTTCCCAATGAGAGGAACTGTGGGAAATGTAGTAAACTTGTTCGCTTCACTGTGACTCCGGTAACGCTGTTGGTCTTAAGTATTTGGGACCCTTTAGCGGTCTATCTTTTCATGCTAACGTCTTGCGAGCATTTGCTATTTTAAACTCCGCACAGCCTTATGTGGTTTTGTTGAATATAGCTATGGAGATTTGTTTCACTGATGCTTGCTATGGCTTGCAGAGTGCCTGTGTTTAAAGTTGTTTCTCTTAAAAACAAAATGTCTCCCAATTAAAACACACGTCGTCTTTTTTAATCGTCACCAAGATTTTCCTCCTTTGGTCTCACTCTCCGACATTGCGACTCTCGCTAAACCTTTTCATTCGGCTGTTTGCTGTCCACCCATGTTAATAAAGCATCTTATGTAAAGAGATTGGCAGAATAGATGAGGTTGATTGGTCAAATACTTGTGAGTAATTGGCAAAACACTAATATGCAGCATACATGTAAACGTATAAGCCAGCCTTTTATCACAGTTCAAAAAGATTTGTGTTGTATGATTCACACAGGCCTTTATCACGATGGCGATAAATTTGCGTTACACGGTCAATGTCGAATTTATTAGTATAGCACATTTCCAGCAGGTTTAGCTTCACAAAATGCTCTCCAAGCAAAATAGCCAAGTTGTAAAAAGAAAAGTTGTATAGTTGTAAAGATCAAGCACACAAAAAGAACACTCCAAAATAGCTGCTACAACTAGAACAATAAAATTAAATACTTAATGAATGAAAAGTTAAAAGAGAACAGCTATTTAAAAAATAAACCCAATTTTAGTCATCCTGCACTAAAACCCACTTGACAAATATGAGTCTAAAGAAATTATTTAAAATACTCCAGAGTTTGTGCAGATTTAATGTTAAAAGCTAGGCGGTTCTAGAGTCTGGGACCTGCTGCAGTAAAGGCTCTGTCTACCCTAGAAATAGCTTTAGACCTGGGAATAGTAGCCATAAGCCCCATTTACACTACCCTTGAAAAACCGATCCAGGCCGAGACCGGTCCGAGCTTGGATCGGTAACCAGGCCAAGCTCAGTTTTGATGACCGTTCACACGTCACACTTATCTTGGTTATCTCGACTCCTCGCCTCCTAGTGACGATGTGCGGTATTACTGCTAGGATTGAAGGAGGGACTCAAGCAGCTGGTGGCGGTAATGCACCAAACGCTGTTTGTCAACCGCCGTAAAACCCAAGAAGAAGAAGACGAAGGAGGAGGGAATCAAGCAAATCAAAATGGCGGCGCCCGTCACATTCAGAAAGTTATGCTTGATTATTATTGCTGTACTTCGGTGTTTGCGGTGGGTCAGGCGAAGACGGCAACCTTGCGCGGATGTACTTGAGAAAGTCGGCTTTTGGGAAGCCGACTTTCTGGAATGGAGTGTGAATCGGCATGTTCAGCCAGTCGGCAATGACGCGTTCTGCTCATGCGCTCTTGTTATCAGAGAACCGAGCCAGGAAAAAACCGAGCCGAACCCACCTCGGGAACTGGTCTGCAGTTAGCGCGGTCCGGTTATGTCTATCTCGGTTCAGTTCAGGTTGTTTCCGTTCACACACGACAAGTTATCTCAGTTACTGAGCTCGGACCGGTCTCGGCTCAGTTTTTTAAGGGTAGTGTAAACGGGGTGTTAATCTTAAGTCCAATTCCAGTTTGATTGCTAAAAAGAAGATAGTTTATAGATTTGTCTGGTCACTAATTTCCCATATTTATCCATTAAGTCTTTCCTGCTAAAAAGTTTTCTCATGGCTGAAAAACTTTCCTTGATTTGTTGTTAACTTAATTTTAAATTTTTTCTGCTTTTCTTATTTTCAGGCTTCTCTAGGAGGTTCAAGTCCAGGTAATTAAACCACTTTTACTCTTCTTATATTTGATTTTAAACCATTTTTTAAGTGTTTTGCTTTATATGAGTAGTAGAAGGACTCTGATGGGTTGAATACAATTTTATTTTTATTTTTTCAGTTGGCTCTTTATCATCAGAGGACCATGACTTTGATCCAACTGCAGAAATGTTAGTTCATGAGTATGATGACGAAAGGACCTTGGAAGAGGAGGAGTCTTTAGACGGTGGGAGGAACATCCACTCTGAACTGGCAGATCTTGAAAGGGTAAACCTTTACTTTTGTGTTTTGACTTAAAAATAATGTATTCATTCAACTGATTTTATTGATAAGGTATTCATTTATGATATATGGATTCATAAGGTCCTTTATTGAAAAAAAAAGTTAATTGAATCCAAACATGGACAGATTCGCTGTCTGTTTCATGCATTCCAATTTGATCCTAGTTATCAACGCATCAAAGTGAAATTTCTGAGTCTACACATACATTTTTTTTTTTACATCAGATCACAATAACACTGAAGGGCCTTTCTTTCTTTCCCATCAGGAAGGGAACATGCCTTTGGAAGACCTTTTGGCCATTTATCGCTATGAGGCTTCAGCAGGCTCAAGTATAGACAGTTCCTCTGGAGATCTGACTGATGAGCTGCCAGACATGACATTGGATAAGGTAAAGACCTGCTGACAATTACATGGATTCCAAATTATTTTACAGAAACATTGTAGGCTATCTAACTTATAAGGGATTTCTTTTGTGTCTCTTTAGGAGGAAATAGCGAAAGATCTGTTATCTGGGGATTATGAGGAGGAGACCCAATCTTCAGCTGATGACCTGACCCCATCTGTTACTTCTCATGAAACCACAGATTTCTTTCCAAGAACACTTCGATGTAAGTTAACAAAATTATGTCTGTAAAGGATCATTGGAAATCATAGGAGTTCACTTCTGGCTTTAAAGCATTATAGACAGCATTGAAAATTGTTTATGTCAAATTCTAACGTGATGTCCTTTTTTAGGGCCCAAAGATCTCCTAAAACACTGGCATACGCTGAATTTTCTACGTATTTTTTTCAATTTTGGGTGTATACATAGAGTATTGTCCGACAGCCTAACTTATACTTAATGCACGGCAGCGTAATACCCATGATATGTCACAAGCCAGTGTCCTGATGGGGGCAGTGATGCGCCCGGCCTGCATAAAAAGATTGCGTTAATAACCTTGCTGCTGTTTACTGGCCGCCAAAAACAAAGAAAAAAAAAGAAATGGAAAGAAAGACAGTTTACAGTCGCAGCAGATTCAGCATCATGTCTAGTAGGAATCTTGCTGGTCGTTGCCGTGGGCATGGCCGTGAAGGCAGGGAGGTTCCATCACACACACCTTCACGCTCACCCTATGATGCGGATGAAGTCTGGAGGACTACAGATGGTTTCTTCGTGTTGACCCCCTTTTATACCAAAAAAACGCTGCCAACACGCCGTTAAACAGTAGCTATAAGTTAGAAACATGTTCAGATGTCGTCTGGAACACATTAGATACGTTAGTATGCGTTAAAGATAAATTCTTGATAAGTTACACATAAGTCATGTACAAGTTACTCATAGTTTTTTGATAAACTAGACACAACGACTTATTATTTACTTACACTTAACGTATGTCAACGATCAAATAACTTACCTGTAACTTATGCCCCATGTATGGCATATGTTATTTTGAGCATGCTCAAAATTTCTCTAGATTTTTCATACGCCAGGAATACGCTGCTCTAAATCATCAAGGCGTGACAGGGGCATTGCTAACAACTAGGGCTGAACAGTTTTGACAAAAATCTGAATTGCGAATATTTTTCACTATTGCTATTTTATTTGGATTTTCCTTTGCTCGAACCCCAAGCTTGTAGATGTTTCACCCGAAGCTTTCGGTTTTTGAGAGCTTGGTTGCCTGGAGTCCATTGTTGCAGGACCTTACTGTAACCACTGCGGGAGAAAGTGTTTACTTTTTACTTGTATTCACGGATTTGTGAGCTAGGTGCGATTCTCTCTATCTTTCTGTATGGCGGCAAACCCCCTTCAAGCGTTTAACCACCACTCAAAGAATTGGAGGGAAAATTTTGTCTCCTGCTCTTGTTAAATATGCTGTGATTAAAAAATCAGTGCCCCTGCGAATTGAAAATTGCATTTTGTTAAATTGCAAATACAATTAATTGCCCAGCCCAACTAACAACTGGCTACAGTACAACACAATGTGCATCGATCTTTCATTGCCACCAAAAAACAGGATTAATATGTAGTTTCATGGGGAAAACTGTTTTTAAGAGTGATCAACAAATGGTTTTTGTTGCATCATATTGAGGCCTGGTCAACTAGGGGTCCTAAACTGTTTAACAGGTGGAGGATCAGAATCAAAGCAGCCAAAAGGAAAACTATGAACATCAAATCAACTGTGTGTGAAAGTTATTTCAAAATAGTCGCACAAAGAATCCATCGATAGACCTGAGTCAAAACTAAATCCTTTTCTGTGCATTTTATTACATTTTTCAGAGCTAAATGAAATATCGTTGATTGTTTTGAGGTTAATTCAAAAGTCTAAAGTTTAAGACTCTGAACTAGTAGATAAAGGAATGTATATTAATGTGTCTTTTACATTTTTTTTTTTTTTTTTAGCCAATGCTGTCTCTGATGGGGATAAAGAATCAGAGTGTGATGACCTAGGGCCAAGCCCTGATGACTCTGGAAAAGTAAGAAATTTGTTTTATTATGAAATACATGAAGAAAAATTTACTTGATGTTTCTTTAAATCACACCTAGATACATATGTTCTGTTTTTTCTCTCTTAATTTAAGGAAATCATGGTAGGATCAGAGTTCCAAGCAGCGGTGCCATATACGCTCTGTCACTATGAAGATGGTGAAAAAGGTAACATTTGCTTTTTGGCAACATACACATAGCACATGATTAATTATTACTTTGTACAAGATTGCCAATTCTTAGTAAGAATTGCACATCTCCTGTTTTAAACAGCGTATGAAGATGATGACGAGTTGCTGTGGAGCCCTGACGTTTTGTCAGAAAACAAGGTTAGGAGTTACCTCTCTGAAGTATTGTCACGGACGACAGATGAAAGCACAGGATATGACAAACCAGGGATGCATGTTCGAGATGATGAGCAGGTGGGTCATCTCTATTGACAGTAATTTGATTCATTACACTGAAATGTTTTGTTACTTTAGAAGATTTTAAGGTACTTATTATCCAATATATGATGCATTTTGCCCCTTTTATTTTTAATCTAGGCTTTGTATGAGCTTGTAAAATGTAACTACAACACCCGTGAAGCACTAGAGAGGTACTGCAGCCACGAGAGATCATCTAAAGGTAAGAGAACGTTTTTTGTTTTGTTTTTTAACTACAAGATGTAACCATTGCATTGATGACAGGTCCGTTTTTAGAAGTAATGTCAGAGAAAATTTAGTCAGACTTTGATATTATTATTTATTGACTAAAAGCTGTAATCTTTTTACATTAACTTGTGAAAATTAAATTTTTAAGGATGTGTCAATCATTTGGACTGATGCTTTTTGGTAAATTCAGCCTTTTACTTTTTAGATGTTTGAGCGATCAATGTTGATTATTATGTCTTCGTGTTTTAGAAAAATCTCCTCCATGGTCGGAGGAAGAATGCAGGAACTTTGAACACGCTCTCCAGATGTATGACAAGAACTTTCACCTCATTCAGAAACACAAAGTGAGAATTCTTTCATTTTTTCCCCCTGATGTTTTTCATAAACGAAAATAAAATGTATTTATCTGAACGATAATACTTTGTTCCCTCAGGTAACGACACGGACGGTAGCAGAATGCGTCGCATTTTATTATATGTGGAAGAAGTCTGAGCGCTTCGACGTCTTTGTGCAGCAGAATCGGTTTGGCAAGAAGAAATACAGCAGTTATCCTGGTGTAACGTAAGTGGATGCAGCATGTGTATTGGACCTAATGGTCAAGTGTGATCCTTTGCACACGGAAAAGTACATTTGATGTTGAAATAATGAACGGGTTGTAATGTTTTGAGCAGTGACCTGATGGACAGGCTGGTGGACGAAGCAGAAGGACTGGCAGTGGACAGCTCGTCCTCTGTGTGTTCAGGGACAGGTGGAGGAAGGATGGAGACCACAACAGAGCAGCAGCTCAGTCTGCTGAACTCCATCACTGCTAGCGACCTCACAGGTTGGTGTGCGACTTGTATTTGGAGTGGTTATAAAATTAAAAATGTTTTTCCTAACCTGCCAGATGTTTGTGTCCTTTCTATTTATCTGTTCTTTGCTAACGCCACTCTGTCTCCTGTCAGCTTTGAGCAACACCGTAGCCACAGTATGCACCCCTGGGGAGGTGGGTTGCTTGGACTCCTACAGCTTCCCTCTGGAAAGCCTCCATCGTGGATCCTTGAACCACAACGAATCCCTCGGGTTCTCTTCCAACGGCGCTGACCCCGACTGCCTCAACATGCTCGACGCAGGATTCTACCACCCAGAATTGGGGCAGCTCGGAGGAGTTTGCGTCAACAAAGACTGCGAGCGACCCTCCAAGAGACTCAAGATGACATTGCCTGACTCATTTATCAATGATGTTTCTGTCGCTAACCTGGGGGTTGACTTTGAAGCCCGACGGACAACAACACATCACCACCGGATCACCGGGGCCAAAATGGCCGTGTCCGTCACAGACTTTGGGAGTTTAGCTGGCAGCGGCGAGCCCAACGGGTTTCTTTCAGCGCACGCACGACACCACACACAACACACTGCAGCACTTCAGTCAGAGTGATCTTCCTCGTCTTCTTCCTCTGTTCTTCCCTTTTGAAACATTTTTTTTTTTTTTCCTTGCTTGTACATAAGACTGACCTTACTGGAAAATCTTGTTTAAATTCTATTATAAATATATATATATATATATACATATCTATATGTATATGGATATACTTTGTTTTCATTTTTTGTGTAATATGACATCAGTGATGTCTACCATATAGAACTAAATCTTGATTTCTCTCAAGAGTTTATATAGCCATTTGTTTTATTATTTTGTTTGCGTTTTCGAGATGTTTAACGTCCGTGTGTCGTGGGGCCCAGAAGCTGCAGTAGGAGAGTTTGGAATCTTCTTTTCTTGCATATACAAGCTTCTTCAGCGCTACACTCTGTTATCCTGCCATTCTTTTCAGCTGCCAAAACAGATGTTCTGCCTCTAGTGTTAGCAGTTAGATGCTTGTCGTTATTTGGTGTGGTACTTATTTAATTTCTTTTTTTCTAAAGTTGTGTTTGGTTTACAGGTACCTTCAGTAATTGGAATGGTGCATATTGTTTTTTTTTTTTTATTTGTTTTTTTTTTACCCTGTCCCGAAGCAACACTAGCATGCAGATTACCTGAAAGGCCAGGAAGTGTTATGACATAAACTGCATGAGCCCTTTAGTCCGAGTTATTTATAGAGATGCACCAATCAGAATCTTGTCGCAGGTTTTTTCACAAAGCTTTGACCTTAAACTCTCTAATTTTGTTCCACATCTTAATACTCTTTGAGTTGCAAGAAGATAAGAGAACAGCCAATCACAATAGCATTTGATTTGCCATTAGTGGTGATAAATAATTTATATTGGGAGGAGAAGTTAGGCGTTGCTTTATGTTGGAGAGCTGTTACTGTAAAACAGATTTTAGTATTAAAAAACACAATCTGATCACAGAATTGGTATTTTGTTAGCAGTTAGGTTAGCATTGAATAATCCTAATCATGATTTGCATTCAGAAGAGAATGAAGGTCCTTCATTTTGTTTTCCAAAAGGCATCATCACCGTCACATCTAGCATGTTCTGACAGACGGTAAAACGCAGAGCAACTTAACAAAATTCTATATTTTTTTCTATTTTTTACTTGCACTCTTGCAACCTGAATAAACTGCAAATATTAAAAAAAGTTCTCGCATTTTAAATCCCCTTGCTGATACTGTAACTTAGTTTTCACTCAGTTACAGTATCAACAGTTAGGGTTTTAATGTTGGTATGTGATAGTGCTTGCATATGATGCATTAATACATATAAAGTCTTTTTTTTTTGTTATTTGAAATTGTAGTGACAGTTTGTTGGTGCATCTCTTGTCTGAGTTGACTAATTTAAAAGGTGCAAATCTTTGAACAATCACATTTTTTTTTCTCCCTATAAACCCAAATTCTTGGCCTTTGATTTGCTCTAATACCATCTTCTTAACAGCTGGGGAAGAAAACTTTTGCAGTCTGGTATAATGGGAGTCGTACAGTTTTCCTTTTTCTCCCTGTCGTGAAATCTTCCTCTGAGCTAACTGTAACAGCAATATAGCAATGCAACGACTGGTTGGGGTAATAGCCATGTAAACACTGACACAATATAGCTCTGTATTTATTGAATACACTTTGAATTTTCTGACTTAATTTAATTCTTTTGAGTTTATTCATGCTGCTCTTTGGCACGTTTTCCTGTATAGTTCCTTATTACATTTGGTATAATATGTTCCTTAATCACGTAGCGTCTATTTGTTTTTCCACTATTGGCATGTTTTGCTTTACCAGCTGGTGGTGTTTTGTTTATTTAAAGCCTCTCTTGAGTTGTTTGTAACCTCTGCTTAGCCTGTGCTGATGAAAGATTCCTTTTGAAACTTGATTGACGATTTCACGGTAGTCTAGTAGCAGAAATGGAGCGGTTTTTACTTGACTGAATTCCTTAATTGTAAAAAAAAAACAAAAAAACAAAGGAAAAGGGTTGGGCAGGTTGGCGTCAGTAAATTGGATGCAGTAGTAGTGTTTACTTAATTTATCTATGCATCATGCTATGGGTGTTTAGTTTATTTCAGGGGCACATAAAGTCTGTTTTGTCCAGTAGGTGTTTGCATTTTCCCCATGTTTGTGTAAAGATCAAATGCACACCCACCTACCATCACTAAGTTCCTTCATGTAAAATTGGTTTAAAGGCCCAGCATTAGAGAAGTTAGCTTCATCTGCATTTCATGTAAATAATTAGCAAATAGCCTTTAAAAAGCCTATTAACTGACCTCTTACACTTGTGAGTCTGTGTTGATACAAAGGTTTTAAATTTGATTCTCTGTCAGAAAGGCAATAATTTGTAGATATGTACAGACTTATTTTTTTTCTCCTCCCCTCACATTTAAAGATTCGACTTGTTCAAAATATAATTTCTCTGTTGGGAAAGTCAGCCAAAACAGCAGGCAGCAGCTGAAACCATGCATGTTCGGCTGGGCCTGCCTCTCCAGTGTACCACAGAAAACAGCTTTACCTGAAGATGTGCTGGTAGTACCCGGTGGTGCGGTTTTTGCAGCCATGTGTAAAAGACACTCACCTTTCTTTCCTAGATCTTTTTACATGTTGTCGATATTTGTATTGATGGTAAAGGGATGGCTGCTGATTCAAAGTTTGGAGGTGGAGCCCGTGTCTCTTTTAATGCAATGTGCATAATGCAGTAGGTCCTCCAAGCTCTTCTAGCTTTAGCAGTGCAGTGATATTTATTTCACCTGTGGTTTGTACAAAGAATAAAAACTGTCAGAATGTAAAGGCCATTAAGTAGTTTGAGTAGGTTCTCACCTCCCTGTGAACTCGAAAATGTGATATTTTATTGATATCTCTGGTTTTGAGATTTGTGCGTGCAGGAAAGCACTAAGCAAATTTATTTTATATTTTGTATTGTGTTTAGAAGTTTAAAAGTGAAACAGAATATAGCAGTCAGTGGTTTTGAAAATGAAAATTCTCTTCCTTTGAAAACAATAAACACCTTTGTGAATAAAAACACCCTACAAAACCTAAACATGTATATCCAGAAATATAGACAATCAAAAACCTCAGTATGAGAAATGTTCAAGAAGCTATCTTTATTGTTTATAAAATTGTACATAAACATTGCTTTTTTTTTCTTTTGTTAAACATTATTTTGTATTTTCTGTTGTACTTTAATACCTTGTGTACAGATCCAGAAATAAAGCTCTGGAAAAGGTTCAGAGATGATTGCATACCCTTTTATTGGTATAATATATTACAGCGATAGTATATTGAATACAGTCGCAAAGACAAAGTTTTAGATAAAAAAAAAATTAAATACAAAATGATGAACGAAAAGCTTTTGAAGAATAATGGATCAAAAACGGTTTTGAGTGTGCGAGTACCTGGCTTTAATCGGTAGAACCAGATGCCTGTTAGGAGTTAGGGAAGTGAAATGGAGGCTTGTTGCACAAACCTATTACTTATTCTCTGCTTGTTCAAAACAGACACCACTAACCTTTAAGTAAATCGAGTTTAAAGTTAAAGGGTTTTAAAGGAGTTTTTCATAAACAGTCCTGAGTGGGTTGATGTTTTTTTTTTCTTTAAAACTTAGTGTAGAAATTTGACTGAAATGGTCCTGAAAATTGAAAAAACGTCCTCACCTTTACATTTCGATTGTTGCATCCAACATTTAAAAAAAAGGAAGCCAACACAGGTCTCTAAACACTGAGAAATGGACATTTATGCATGTGCTGCTACACGTTAACTAAGCTGACTGCGTAACAGAAACAAGAATGCAGCGCCCAATAAAAAATGACAGATTGGCAGCAATCACTATTCATGTGAAATTTCAAACTATTAAAAACATTCAAGTATTTTAAAGGAAGGCAGCCTTTCATGACGGATTTCAAAATCTTTACAGTAGAGATCGTCCAATACAGGTTTCCTGAGGCCGATGCAGATCATTTTGACCTCTAACCGATCCCTGATCTGTGCTGCCGAAGTGTTTTTGCAGATTTTTGGCGCCGATATGGATTTTCTTGATTTAGATTAAATAAAAGGAAAATAGCTATATTTCCATTTATCATCAAATGGTGCATGTTTTCATTATGAAAATTAATTTGCTTAATGAAAACACTGCAATTTTGAAAAACGCTTCGAATTTGTTTTTTTTTGGTCATATTGAAATTCTATTTTGCAAAACTGCAATGGAAATTTTTTTTTTTTTTTTGCATCATACAATTCCCATGATCTGCAACTGACCTTATTGCCTAGTAAAATGATGGAAGACTACAAGTAGTTGGATGATGGCCCCTTCTAGAGCTGTCTAAAATATTGCATATTCATTTGTTTACATCTTCTGCTGACATATTTTTAATGTGTCAACAAACATATTCACATCCAATGTGTATTTATTAAATGGAAATGCAAAATTAGCAGAGTATCGACGTAGTTTCGCACACATTTGTAATGGAAACACAGCTAATGATAAAAAATGTTAATTCAAACAAAAAAAGGAATATGACAAAGCTATGAATGAAAAGCAGAGGGAAGGAGCAGAAATGGATGCACTTTATGTGATCTCAATTCATGGCTGCTGAAAGCACTAATGAATCAGCCATGTTTCCACGTCTCGGCCAATGCGGATAAAAGAAAAAAAAAAAAGCTAACAATGGCGAAAATATAGGCTGGACGATGTATCAGTCCATCTCTACCTTCCAGGCTTTGAGCTTATTTTCTTAAACTTAAGGATTTCAAGGACCTGTGGGAACCCTGCTCCTGTTTATGCTCATTATGGAGGCACATTTTTTATACAAGTTATTTCAATTAAGTAGGATCTTTATATTTCATTCAGTTCCCTTCTATTTTCACCCCCTTTCCAGTGTAAAAAAAAAAAGTGAACTAATGCCTAAAATTATGCAACTCTGTTGGTGGCTGATTGAGATAAAAACTTCAGCAAATCACAGAAAAGGACGAATGTATTCAGGAAAGGTTGAACATATATATATTGACCTTGTAGCTTGGGTTGCACCAATCTGGGAAGACTTCTGATACATTTGATTGTTATGCTGGTGAAGATTCTCAGTCATCCCGATCATACATAAAAAAAAAAAAAGCGTTCTTTGTTTTTGGATTCATAGCATCAGACAGATAACGAGTTTTCCATCTAAAACAATTAAATGAATAACTTTCCACTCAAAAAGTCTTATTGAAAAGGTTGCCTCTGGCTATTATCTGCTGGTTCTAGGTCTACAGGAGAATCGGAACCAGATGAAATATCAATACATCAAAGCATTAGAATCAGATCTCTAGTGATAATTAATGATGTGGGAGAGAGAAAACCTAATGCTTATTTGTCTTTACTTATTATACTTGAATAATTTAATCATATGAAAACAGATTGTATGTCTGGGCATATGTAGATATGTACCAATGGAAAACATTGTCATGGTGAACAACTCAATGAAGAGTGATGACTAAATTACAAAAATTAGCTAAATGGTATCCGCTTAGATCAACTCAAACTTTAATGGCTGGAGGTTTTCTAAGGGGAATAGGAATAGTCATAAAGTCCTCAGCCAGAGTCACCTCTACACCACTGTCCAGTAAAGCCTGCTCAGCCTGGTTCTTGAGCTCTGAGACGTCGTCCTCATCTCCCTCCTTCTGTAAGGAACTGGGTTTGTAGCGCTGACTGAAATGGTAAAGGACCAGCCTCTGTGCACAGCAGGCCCGAGCCACAGCTGCTGCCATCTGAGGCGTGCTGTGTCCGTGCTCTACAGCTTTCTCCTGGTGCTCATTCCCGAGGGTGGCCTCGTGAACCAGAACGTCCGCCCCATTGCAAAGCCGGCAAGCTCCTACACCAAGAACCGAGCTACAGTCACCTAAAACACAGATTTTCCTCCCAGGAATATTGGCTTCCAGAACCTCGCTGGGAAGCAGCAAGCGTCCATTTTCAAGAACCACAGATTCGCCAGCTTTGAGACGGCCGTACACTGGTCCGGGTTTAACACCTGCAATTAAAAGAAGAATTATAAGAACCATAAAGCCTTTACACTGGCTAGAGTTAACAGTTACAAAAACAATGCAAAAAGTACATTTGAGATTTAATTTTTTTTTGTCATAATACGTTCTAATTCACTCCTCCCTCTAAGCACTAACTTTCAAATCTAAACACCAAAAATTATTTAATAAAGGCGTGGCGGTGAGAAAAGAAACTAAAACAAAAACAAAGGGGCATCTTTTTATTTCTTCAACAGCACTGAGCAAGAAAGGTTTCCCATACGATGGTTAACATTGAATTCAAAGACTTTTCAAGGAATTTTCAGGACTAATTATCTCAAATTTATGGATCACAAAAACAGAAAAATAAAGCTGCATGTTACTAATAATCCATTTTAAATTTATGCAAATTAAATAAACAGCATATAAGTTGCTGGATCTCCATCTTATTAATTATAAACTAGGGCTGCAACTAACAATTATTTTACTAATCAATTAATCTGTTGATTATTTTTCAGATTAATCAATTAATAATCAGATAGAGAAAGGTTCCTTAAATAAGATTTTATACAGAATTAAACCAGATGAAACAAAACTTTTCGACTTATGGAGTTCTGGATAGGGCATATTGATAGACTTTGTTTTTTTATTTAAAATGCAATAATTTTTATATATTTTTTTCCACATTTTTTTGTACAGCTACTGCTCTAAGTGAGTTCCTCTGTCAGCTAAAGGCATGTTTTGCAGTCTCAACACTCCAGTTAACGATTTATCGATTACTAAATTAGTTAACAATTATTCCAATATTTCTTTAATCACAGTTTATGCGATTAATTGTTTCAGCCCTAATATAAACGATGTAGAACAAAAGCATTTGCTCTATAAGGCGAATGTTGAAAAAAACCTTGCAACCGGGCAGTCAAGGTTACCAGGTAAACGCAAAATATTGCAATTACGTTGATCGAACCTTTTTCTGCCAATGTCACAGTTATATCAGAGGCCAAAATACTGAAAAAAAAGGTTCCTAGCATCTCTTAAACGGTGAAAGGGATTATCATGTTCAACGGCTGTACAGGAGATATCTATACTAGAATATATATTTATTTTGTTCCATTTCAAATTATTCTTCTCAATTATTTCAGGGTAAAAAAAAATGCATTTTCTGCGAGAAATTCAAAAGACACTCCAATCCATGTGCGAGTATTTGTTACCAAGCTCCTTCAGTAGTTCTGTCTTCAGTTTTCCGGGACGATCGTGTTCCTGGATGCAGAAGCCGAAGGAAGGGATGCGGTGGTAAAGCCTGAAAGCCTTCACAACAAACTTGTTGTCTTGGAAAAGGAGGTAACTATCAGTAGAGTTGTCCAGGGGGATAGTCCTGCCAGGCTGCTCCTGTGGATGAGGAGGACTGCTCTCTTCAACCATCTACAGCGGGAAAATGTAAACAAATGTAGTGAAGCTGAAAAAGCGATCGTTCCACATCGACATGATGGCGAAGGCTCAGTTTAACAGTCTGGATGTCAATGACCCATTTCTCCTGATCACAGGTAAAGGTGGGTGCAAAGACAGAGCAGTAAATCAGGGTTTTTTCTGTTTGGCTCAGCTTTATTTTTACTTTTCACTCATTCTTCAAAAGTTAAATTAAACTTACCTCTATGCTGAGCTGTCCCTCCTCTGGACACTGGTCTGGAGTGGGTTCCAGCTCATGAACTACAGCAACAAAGAAGAGACAAACAAGCAATTACATCAGCAAGGAAAAGGCCACCTCTACAAAATATCCAACACTGAAAACAATTGGTTTGCAATATATCCATTTTCAATTTTGGCAATTTTAGCAACAACATGTTTGCTTTGGACATACCTGCATATGGGAAGAGCAGCTGTGATCCAGTGAGGCCAAGAGTCACCCTGAGAAACTTTCTGAGACCCCGGGGCCCGTAGATGTCCACACACTTCAGGCTCTGGTGGACGTCTGGGTTGGTGTTGAGGCTCACGGTGCAAAGAAGTCCAGGCAAGCCGAACAGGTGATCTCCATGCAGGTGGGAAATGAAGACCTTGGTGATGCGTCCTGTGTGCACATCATGACCAGATATTAAAAAGGCATCAAAAACAAAACTAAGTTCTAAACTCATACAAATAGTTTTTCATAACCTTTATCATTTTTTATTTGTTTTTTTTAGACACCACTTTGCAATGATTTCTGCATATTCACATCATCCTAACAAAGCAGAAAGATAGGAAAGGTTGCTTTCAAAAGGAATGGTAGTTTAAACCATTCTTTCCTTAAGAGTGGGTCCATTCAAGTTGGAAAAAGCGATCATCATAACTTTAAATCCAACAAGCAATGATACTAAAGCCAGTTAATCCTAAATCAACCAGTAACAGAACCAAGAACTTCAAAGTAAAAAAATGTTTCAATTGTTTCAAAGAAAGTTTTAGACCTCCAAGACATATTGGACAATTACGATCCATAATTTGTGGGAACACTTTGGAGCTGGCCCTCTCTATTTCCGACATGACTGTGCAGCAGCGCCTAAATCAAAGTCCATAAAGACATGGATAGTACGAGTCTGGTGTGACCGGGGAACTTGACTAACCTGGCAGTAGCCAGATTAACTCAGATCTCGCAACTATCCAGCTTGCAGCGTGAATCCTGACCTAAACCCTACAGAAAAACTGTAGGAGGAATTCATTCATTGTCCAAACTTTAGGCTGGATTCATTTAGAACTTCTGTAATGTTTTAACTAGTGATGTTATAAGCAGAGGCCTTCAGGCATGGGTCGAGTAATGGAGGGAGCTTGATTCATATAGGAGAAGGGCCAAAATTGATGACCTCAGAAGCCTCCCTACCGTGGTACCACGTGACCACTTTGGGAAGTGGTTCAGAGAGCACAAGAACTTCGACAGCCTCACTACTCAGTCAAGATGTGGGAGTTTGTAGGAGAGTTGCTGTCAGTTGGATAACAGATTCTAAGAATCGATTGGTTGTTTTTCCAACCAGTCTAGTTGGTTAATACAATTTTAGTTAGATGAAACAATGTAATGATCAAAATCTGAGCAAACCACTGGACACAGTTGTAACTTTAGTTCTAAGTAGTATTACTGTCTACTAACTAGTTAATAATGTTAGTGGTGTCAGCTGTAAGACGCTGGCTTCCATCCCTAAGGATGGTGGTTCAAGACCCACATTAGGCTTTTTAAAGTTGCAAGTTGATGAAGCTTCATGCGAACATGTCACCACCTACTGGTGGAGGGCAGAACTACATTTAGTAGTTAGTAATAACATGTGATTCATGAACCGTTTAGTCACTAAACATGACGCTTCATCTCACCATCACTGGTTTTAACTCCTGTAGCTGCTTTATTATTTACGTCCAAAAAACAGAGGGATCAATTTATTCCTAACATTTGTACGGAAAGTGTGTCTTACATCTGACTACATTGTATTTTAAAAGTCATAGTGCATAAAGGAGCCCAGTGGGTAAAGTATGAATTAATAATGGCAACAAGTTGAAGAGATGGGTAGATTTATTTTAGAATATTTAAAGTTTCAATCTCTTTATTTCTAGAACTTTTACAGGGACTGAATGTTGTGCAGCTTCCTCACCAGCTCTGAGCTGGCTCTTCATCAGCTGGGTCTGGGTCCCCTCTCCGCAGTCAAACAGCCAGCACTCCCCATCCGTCCGCAGCACCAGGGCCGAGGCGCCGCGGTGAGGAGACGGATATGCCGAACCGGTTCCCAGGAAGGTCATATCCATTGACATTCTCCTAATGCTACAGAAGATCAGCTAACTTTGATCCACAGTGACGTGAGACATGCCTGATGCCGCCGCCTGCCTGTGCTTGTCGCAAAATGATGACGTGCTTTGTGCGACGGAGCGGCTCCTACTAGACGTTGTGGGGTGCGTTCGAATTCACTGGTTGCGTTTTCCAAGGAGCCGGGTCTACCTGGACTGGATCCTTCGAAGTCCGTGAAAATAAGGAGACCGGAAGGTTTTTGGCCGTGAATTCACACTTTTCTAAGGTCCATATTTGTGTGACCATTTTTTTTTCTATAATATCTTTGCTGTTGTAAACACCAAAATATCCCTACTGTGGAACTATTCTATTCTATTATATTCTATAAAAGGGGTAGAAATATATAAGTAAATATAAACAGTGGATGTATAAAAAATATGTCTGCAAAATCTTGTATTCAACAACAAAAAATACTTAGTTAAGCAAATTGTGCAAAATAGCAATTAGAAAATACAAATCCTATTAGATTTATAGTCCCCCACACTGCATGTATATTAGAATCTGTAATTAAATTACAGCCAAACTAATTTACACAGTAAGAGATAAAAAAAAAAAAACCTTTAGATAAACCAAACATTACCGCCACATATCTGACTCAATAACCATTTAAAACAACCATTTTCATTCATTTCGGATGGAGCTATTTATATTATATATTATTTTAATCTACGAAACGGAACTTTCAATATTCACCACAGTCAGACACCATGTGCCTTTTTTCCCCTCTGATCACGGAGCAGCCGGCTTGCTTGGTCTCGCAATGAATCCCTTGCTTTAAAAACTATTTTTAATTAAAAATGGTAATTTTGCGATAGCTGATATTGTAAAGATACAATTACATTTCAGCTTTGGTAAGAAGAATTACTTGCAAAAATTATTGTTTTCCTCTAAAACAATGGTTCCAAATCCCCTTTTTAGATGAAAGAACATGTTTCATTTTTTTAACAATCAAGGCCCCAGGCTAAGAATGGTTAAAGAGAAAAGAATTAAATTGCAGTGACGCCTAGTGCAAAGTATCTATAGCATGATCATTGGGGTGCATAGTCATCTAGTACCGTTAGTGAAACACTTATCTGGACCAAATAATTGCAGCATATAGATACAGCATTCCACTTTTCCCCATTTCAACCCAGTAAACCTGCCCGAGTTAAACTCCAGAGAAACTATGAAGAATTAATAAGATGATAAAACTTAAAGCAGATGACCTGAGAACATTTATGAAAGCAATTTGTTTTAGAAACAGTTCCTTGTTGCAGCATACTCTGAGGACAAAAGACGACCCAAGATCAAAAAGAAAACTCACCGGACAAGAAAACCAATAGAGCATTAGGATTTATTCTGCAGTTTTAAAATATCAAGTATATCACAGTAGCAAATATATCATCTGACTGAAAGTGTACCAACAATACAGTTAAAGAGGTTGGAAGGGCACAGCGGTGTGAAAACAATGCCATCTGGAAAGAAAAGAAAATATCTGACAGTTACAAATTGCCTTTAACACATCAATATAGAGGAAAAGCTGCACATTGAATACTGAAGTCAAACCAATCAATATAAAACATAAAACACTTGTTCTTCAGGTGTAAAACATGAGGTAAGGGATATGGCAAAATGTATAAAATGACATGGGAGCACCCAGGGATCCCCCACATTGAGACACAGGATGAGAGAGAGGGATGCTGGAGTTTTCTCCTGGGCTGGTTAACCTCACCAACACAAACCAAAAAAAATAATGGATGGATCATTCTCTTACAATACATGTCACAAATGTATTATTTTGCCTTTTAACAGTCATAAGAATTGAGTATTAGTAAATCACATCTCCAGACGTTACCTTCTGAGACGCAGCTTTTCTTCTTTGAGCTGCAGGTTTCCTACATTAGCTGTTGTCACATCTTTCAGGGTGGATCACCCCATTTAATAAAAACCTAGTTTATCAACCTGATATATAGCATGTGGACAAAAAAGGACATTTTAAAGAGAAAAAATAAAAGCCATAATATGGAGTTACCGAAAAGTGCATAGGGCCTTAATAATTAATTTAATAATTTTATACTAGTATAAGTAATGTCAAGGGCCTGTTGCACTAAAGGAGTTTTTAAACATAATATCAATTAAAATAAATATAAGGTGACACAAGTATATAAGTCATGTAATAAAATATGACCTTTTCTGCATCTGCCCTCAATCAAATTAGAAATTTAAGTTTTCCTTCATCATCGGTTTTGCACACTACCCAATTCCACCACCAGATGGCCCTCCATTACAAAAACACTATTAACCTGTGGAGAGAAGGGTAGTTCTCCCACAAGTCAATGCTCCTTCATCAGTCTGTTTCCACTCCAATTCCCACAGATCCAAAGAATGTGATTTTGGTGCAAATGTATGTTTGCATCAACATCACTTTAATCAGAAATTGGGGTGGAAAAAGAGAGAGAAACAGGTCTACAGTGACACAGGCCACACTGAGAATGCATTTTTACTTCTAGTTGATCTTAGGACTGAAGTTGACACCAGGCCAGTCATAAGTATCTGGCAGGAAGGAGTCATAGGCTGTGTTCCACCCAATGGCACGTACAAAGCCGTTCTTGTCCAGAGGTTCAGGGTAACGGAATGCCATGCCTTTGGCATAGACGAACTCCACCACCTGCAACAAGGAAGAAACACTTTGCTAACACAATATATACACCATTAATATTTTTAAAAAACGTTTAAACATTTATCAAATTTAGATATATAATGCCTGAAACTCAGCAGATTTTTCTAACTCTTAGTTATTTTCTGTCATGTATTCCTGGGCTTTGAATTTTTCAGGACAGTATGCACAAGGAAGGCTTTTTGCAGTGAGCTTTTAGTTGGATACAATAAGATATTCCTTTTAAACTGACATGGCATTGGTGCTTTGAGAATGTGGACCTGCTCTCACTGAATAGAGTTGTTAGCATCAGCTGCAAAGGTGTGGCACATCTGCATGGCGGTGCTTATGTGCCCTTCAACATCCAGTGGAACTGGGGGGCAACTCTTGTCAAATGTAAAAAGACCAAACATTGAGTGCCTCTGCAATAAAAAGTGTGTCGTTAAAAGGCCTAAGCAATGCAAAAGAAACTTTTTTAAAACTATTATAATGCCATTCCTTCATTCAAATCTAAATATCTAAAAATATATCACTTGATTCATGAATCTCTGAGTAATCGTCATGAGTTCTGCTGTCTGAGCAGTAGCCTCTCCCTGACCTGTGAAAACAAGCGATTGGATAACATCTACATAAAAAAACTACCCCATTCAGGATGCACATACCTTTAACTGGGCTGTGCTAAAACTGTTAACTTCCATTAAAAAATTTACTTAACCCACTTTCCCCAATCAAGAAAAGTTGATGTGAGGTAGAACGTGACGATCACTTCCTTAGTCAAGACAAAGGCAGCTGTAAGCTGATTGGTTGGTTTACAACGAGTGAAGCTGCTGAGCAAAGACGCATCATGGCAACAAGCACTCACTCACTGAAACATCAAATTGTTGATATGGTAGGGTGACCAGACATCCTCTTTTTCTTGGACATGTCGTACTTTTCAAACCTAAAAAAAATGTCAGCGGGGAATTTCAAAATCGTCCGGGATTTTGGTCGACTACAGTGCAGCACGTAGTCTAAACACACCGGGCACTGGAACAGAGCAGTCAGCTCTAAGGCTTGTCCGGGAACCCCGGCGGACGGGGTCAGGAAGCTAGCGGGGGACGGAGCGACCGAACCCGACCCCGTAAAAGAAGTCTAGCAAATCCTGCTTTGAATTGTCAAAGATTTTGAAAGCTGTCTTTAGTAAAATGCTTAGAGCAAATGAACAGCTGAGTATCAAACTTTGCAGGGATCTTCTGATAGACGAAAACAATCCATGCCAGTCGAGTCTTCGGTTCCTTGGGAAGACTGTGAAAAATGTCCCCTTTCTCCATGCAGCCTGGAACACTGCATTTACACCCGTGGTTCTGGCTCATTTTCAATAAAGAAACTGCCTGCTTTGTAATTCTTGTAGAAGTAAATCCAAATGTAGGCTAAACAGCTAAACTAGTGTCTTACATCTACCTCTATTCATGTTCTTGGGCCAGTGAACCAGCGGGCTGGTTTGTATGTTAATTTTGGGGCGTGACAAAAGTACAGGTCAGAACCAAATAAGGCACCTGTTTACCCTCCCCTTAAAGAAACTAGCAGCACAGCACTGTCATTAAATAAAATCAAACTGCCTGGAATCTGGTAGCAGACCTCTTTGGACCAGCAGACTGAGGAGTCATGGTAAAACGGGAAACATTCAGCCCTTTAGATTAAATCCTACATCAGAGAACCTTCCCATCAGGTGTTATATATGTTCCATTGGTTAACAACAATTTTTAGCATAGTTATCTCTCATGCTTAAGAGGTGCTCAGAGAAAACATATATTGACTGATCAGACCTTCTGAAGATACATAGCACAGTTTTTAAAAAAGGAGGAGCAGGGAGCATCAAGTGTTGTACATTGGCCTAAAAACATAATTTATTATATTTCACATTAATATAAAGATGCTCTAAAAGTCACGCAGTGTTGCTTTAAGGACAATAGCTAACAGTTAAAACATTAGTAATTTAGCATGCTTCAGCATTTACCTTGACAGCCATCTGAACAGAAACTTCTCTGATGTTGGAGAGCGGAGGATAGAGTCTGCCCTCTTCAAGCTCTTTATCTGTCAGCTGCTCAGCGAGTGTCTGAAAGGAGTATGAAATCATTTTCAAGTTACATAGTGCATCTTTAAACCACAGAACTTAAGCACTACTCTAATTATTTGTCTTTAGTCTATTGGTTTCCCATCTATCTCTAAGTGCAGGTGCTAATTCAAAGTAATTTTGAATGATGAAATAGAAATGACACCAGAAGTAATTTAGCCCACATCTACCATTGCAAAACTAAAGCACTGTGTGATCAATATTTGCACTGCTCAGTTAATACAAATGTAGTCCAGCCAAAGAAGGAAGCTCATAGATGCCTTTTAAAACTTCTTCTGGTACATGTTAAGCCAGAGTCTA